GGCCTGGCTGTCTCACCCTCGAGGAGGGTCACCCCAAAAAACAGCGGCTCCCTTAAGAGGGACAGGGGCACCCGAACCTATCCCGTGGACAAACTCCGGGTGAACCCACTTCTCTAGGCGGACAACCGGCAAGCGGCGATCGTTGGTCCCTATGCCAAGCTCGGCCGCCCGGTTGAGCATGCCCATGAGAACTTCAGTAATGTGGTTCGCGCCGGCGCACCCGTCCCATCGTCTCGACCTTCTTGTCGAGGACCTGGACAACGGTGCGGTACTGGTGGCCGTCAGCCTCGTTTTCAGCGAGGTGCTGCAACGGCAACGAACCCGCGGCAGGAACTCCGCAGGCTCTCAGCGCCCTTGGCACCGGCGGCAAGAACGCCCGCCTGGACGCCCGCGCTGCCGATCTGGATGCTGAAGGCTGCAAAGGGATTGCTCATTGAGGCACTCGACGGAGCGGTACCCCAATTCGACGGCAACGCTACCTGGTTGCCTCCGGTAGTGGCAAGGGAGTGAACCATGTCACAGTTGGCACCCTTCCGGCAGGAGCCATTCTTTGCAAAGAACGGACACACAGTGCCGGGCGGCTTCGCCCCAGCCTTGCTCTTAGCCTTGGCTTTCGCCTTAGCCTTGGCCTTGGGCTTACCGTTCTTGCCACCTCCCTTGCCGCCAGCCTTGCCACCACCCTTCGTCGTAGCAAGCGTCTGCTGGTGGCCCGCATCCCGACGGGCGGCCAGTGCACGCTTGCGCAGCTCCTTGTCGTGAGAGTAAGGGCAACTGTCTCCCTTGGGACAGTTACCGTGGTCACGGAAGTGAAAGCAGATCTTCTTTTCTGCATCACCGCCCTTACCCTTCCCCTTGGCAGTGGCGTAGGTCTGGTTTGCAGCGGCCTTAGCGGCTGCCTTGGCTGCGGCCTTGACTTCCGCCTTGAGCTTCGCAAGCTCCTTCTTGGTGTCGGCGAGCTCGCCCGCGTTAGGGTCTGCGCTGGAGCTCGAGGCCGTGTAAACGGCGTTGGCGACGGCCTTATGGGCCGCTTCCCTTTGCTCGTACTCCAAGACCACCTTGTGGGACTCCTCCCACGTCCGGGGTGCCCTCAACACTGGCGTCTCGTCAGCCGGCCACAGCCGCTTTGTCTGCCCTAATCTCTTTCTGGAGATGCGCCATCTTCCGGAGATAGGACAGATAGAGTTCTCGGGGCGTCTTGCCTAAGCCGACCGCCTCCAACTCTGCGATCGACGCCTCGAAGAGAGGTTCGAACTTGGCCAGCGAGGCATGCTCGCCGTCGACTCGGACCTCCCTCTCTTCACGGCTTTCCCCGAAGACAAGGTGTTTCGCCTTGATTCGGGCGTACACCGCCTCAGGGTCGTTGAGGACTTCGCCGCTTTTCCACGCGGCGCGGTACGCGTTCGTATAGGTTTTCAACCTCGAACCGCGACACCGGCCCCTGAGCGCCAACAGCCGCTCCCTGGCGGACATTCCTTTACAGTTGTTGGCGCGGGCGCAAACATCCTCGAACTCTTCGTAAAACATGACCACATCCCTGGCATCGGACTTATCGTCCGTCAGGGTGGGCCATGCCACGTCAGTCTTGACTGTGGTGATGGAGCTCTGGCCACCACGGCCCGACGCGAGGGTTCAGTGATGGCCGCTGTCTGGCCTTCAATGCTTCAGCCAGCTCGCCGAGGCTCCACCGTCGGAGCCCCTCTTGAGGGCCTCAAGCTCCATCTCCATCGCGGCCAGTCTGGCCCGCAGAGGAGTCTCCCCCGCCTCGGCATCGCCGGGCAAGTCG